GTTTTTCCTTTATTAGTTGAAATACAAAGAAGGCGTAGGGGAATCCCAGGAAAATAACACTACATCAGAAAATTCAACGTGCTTCACCGTCAGGATTTCCATCACACATTTAATTTCTTCTGTACAATTGTTATAAACTTGTTTTTCTCTTCAAAATCATTAGATTTCCAGATTAAATTCAGCACTACAGAGTATGCCCTTTAAGTAAAATGAGGTTACCTGCTTTATTTGGATACCAAGTTCCCTTCCAGACAGCATTAAAATGAAGACAAGACTATACAGATAAAATCCAGGATAATTCAAATTCCAACAATGAAAAACTTCCCCCATATTGTTGCAAAATTCTTTCTACTGAAATGCTCTGCTACAATAAAAAGCATACATTACATATAAAAGAGACCAGTGTACTAAAAAGTGACAGAAGTGAACTAGCAAATCCTTCAAAGCACATTTATATAAATGACGAGCATTTAAAAACATTTCTCCTATAAAATGTAGGTCATATACATTTAAAAATTGGCGGTTTTATTTCTAAAGCAGTGATGTGTGTGTTCAAATAGTTAGCAGTTCTGTACAGTATAATATCTACTCAATTCAAACTACAATAGGTTTGTCTTCCTTTGTTATTTAAGTTGAGTAAGTTCATCTGATCAGCTGAGAAATCAAGCTTGAAAAATAAGTACCTAAAATTCAAGTTGAAAGTTTAGAATTACTGAAATGTAGATATGAAACAATGAAGAGTACTATTTCACAATGGAGCTGAAGTCACCTCAACACTTATGGGCTTGAATCTAAAACAGAAAAACAAATATTAAAATTCAAAGCAAACCATGTTAGGTAGAGTACAGAAGCAGGAGAGGAAAAAAAAAAAAAATACAACACACCCCCTTCCTTCAGTGTGATGGGCACTGAGTTTTGCGGTCTTCCTCCATCTTGCAGAAGAGTGGTAAGGCCATTCAATGCTTAGTGAGAGTGAGTACAGATGAAGTCAGAGTTAGCCTGTCTCCCCTGCAACTTCAATTATGCTGTGTAAACAGTGTTATGTTCCAATAGGAGGAACAGTGGAATTTGTTTATAAAAACTGATTAAAGATAATCATTAACAAATGAAATAAGGATAATCAATAACTCTGAAATGTTTTTAGAACTTTCCTGATGCTACTTGTAAAGTTAGCACTGCTATGTATTATTGCTTACATACAGTACAACACCATATGCCTTCTAACATAAAGAGTACTGTGATTTGTTTGTACATATTTACAGATTCTTAAAAACAAGCTGTAAAAACATTACATACTTTCAGACAATACAAATTAGCACATTGGTACTCACTTCAAAACAAATGGAATGCATAACATTAATAAACATCATAAAGGAAGACACATAAAAGTCCTTGATTGTCAAGACACGTTTATATATAAACTCTAACTGTGCAGAATTAAAGATTCAATCATAGGTACATCCTTAGTTGATGAACCATATTTACAGCATGGTATTGCATAAAAAAATAAAATAATGTTTACAGGGTTTTACTTTTTTTATCCATTGGATTAAAAGAAAGCAACAAACACAACAAGAAATGTTTGTTTGCTTTAATTTGTTTCCTACCAAAGTTTAAGTGAATAAAGGAAACATACGGTTTTACTTGCAGAATATAGCAAAAACAACTGGAAAATTATTTCCCTGAAATAAAGTAATTTGAAACGGAAAATTTTTAAATTAAATTGCAGAGTCAAAAAGTTTCTCCTTGATTTTAATAGTGCTTCAAGTAAATATATTGTGAAAAAACGAGTTCTAGTTTAAAAGGTCCTAAGTCTAAGAAATGTAGTATTACAGTAATGCCTACTTTTTAGTTTCCCGGCGTTTTTTTGTTTTTGTTTTTGAACAGCCCTTTAAAAGCCCAAATTAATAAAATGAAACAAGTGGCCAAGATCTAACCTGGCTGGCACTTCCTATGTTGTCTCACCTGTGGAAACTGAAGCCTCCCCTGAGCACAGCCTTAGCCTTTCTCTCCCAGAGAAAAGTCCCCGGCTACTGGCAGTCCTCAGCCAGAGCTAACAGGATGGATTTTTATGGCATCAAGTAGAAAACTTGCAGACAGATCCAAAATAGCTACTCAAATAGTCTGAACCAAACGAAATGTGTGAAGTAAGTTAAAACAATAACAACACTTTCAGAATAATGTGCAAGAGATGTTACCTCATCTAACGCAATGTTTCCGATCTTCAAATGTAGGTCCTAAGTGAAAAAGCACCTCATTCACACTGACCAAAAGGTTGAGGGTGTAAAAGCAGGTTTTAAAAGAACAATTTGCTCACTGAGAGTAATGAGAAACACAAATTGCAAAAGGATATCTCATATTCTCAATAGTCTGATCTAAAGCAGCACAAAGGGCTACTTGCTTTCTCTGCTAATGCCCACAGAGAAATTAAGTAACTTTCCAAACCAAACTGGGAAACCCAAAATGTTGAGATGTTTATCATGTGATAATAATACAAGGTAACTCTGGTAGGCATTTAGAATTTCACAGTAAGTCAATAAGTTATGCCAAGTATCACTTATTGCAAAAATGTTTATAATGTGGTAGAAATATCTGCCATTGTACAGATTTCAAGAAATGTGTCGAACACGGGAATTCTGCTTCCTTAACTCCCATTTTCAAAGGCCTTCCTTCGTTAGCGCTCCCTCACTGCTCAGCAGTAGAGTCACATTCTAAAAACTGTGCTGCTGTTAAAACAAACGAACATCAATCTTTATACTGCACCAAGAACTGCGTCAAGTTCTCAGTAGAGAAAAATTTGATCAGGCTCAAAAAATATTAACTCAGGAAATAAATGCCTCCTATTAGCAAGTGGTCCTGTAAGAAAAAGACCAATCCTCCAGGGAGAACAGCTCAGTCTGCAGCATCTCACCCGCATGAAGCTTTCCTGTGGCCGTGATGTGCAACACAACGCACGCCAGGCTTAAGAGTCAGCAGTGGCAGAACATTATAAATTATCTACTTCAAGGAAGTCTTGAAAAATCTGCCAGCGAAGAAAGCTGTCAAGTGGCAAAGCTTAATAACCAAAGTGTAGAGGAAACCACATTAAAGATAATGTCCTTATTATAAAAACACCAATATGTTCAAAACAACTGAGATACATTTATCATGGATAGTCCTTTGTTCCCTTTCTCGATGAGAACAGTCTTGAAAGGAAAACATTAAATAGAAGGAAAAAAAATAATTTAAATGTATAACATTCTATACTGAAACAAAGACTACAGGCCTAAAGGGCCAATATAAAAGATAAAATGGAAATTAACAACAATGAAGTTTCATTTTCCGAGGGTATTAATTTTAGATTATCACTGGTATTCTATCAGTATGTGCACGATGACAAAGACGGCTACTGGTACTATGTCAGTATGTGCGTTATGACAAAGATGGCGAAAACTTCTTCAAAGAAAATGAAAAGTTGGAACAAATAGGATAATAGAATCTATAAAACTAATGTTATTTTCCAAAAATGAAAACTGTCCAATGTGTAACTCAAACCATCATTCTTCAGAAAAGTATATATGTATATATAAAAGCACTATTTATTGTACCATGCTGTATTATTTTAAGACAAAGTATTAAAAATAAAACATTCGTGGTGTAAGGATAAAGTCTGTAGTTTATTTAGATTTTGAAATGCAACAAAAAGTTTCCGACCACTCATCTAGCTGAAAAAGAAATTGTAGTTACTATAATTAGTAAACACTTTTGGTTTGTAAAATAATAATGAACAGTGTTCATTAAAAATTAACTCAAGATAAAATAAGCAATTAAAATGCCCATTTCTTCAGTTCCTCTGGATACCGTTTAATTATCCAATCTATAAAGATTCTAGAAAGAAAAAGGATTAAACCAAATTTTACAGTTCCAAAGATACCCAATTTCCTTTTATTGCCAAAAATTAAAATTGTCAATTATGAGATGATTATGACACAACCATATCAAACCTAGAAATCTAAATCTGTTTTTATTTTGAGAAATCAAAAATACCAAATAGATTCTAAGTGCTCTATGTTAACTGAAGTGTATATGTAAAGTAAAATACAATTAAGTTTTAAAACGTGGAATATACATTTGTATAAGCATATGTTCTTGGGAATGTAATCTACAGAATATCTTCTTACTAAAACTTCAAAATCTTGATACCTGCACATGAAAAATCATAAAAAATATCTAGGTACAACTGTACAAAGAAACTGACACCAATATGCATACTTCCATAGAAGTAAATGCTTCAAACATTATGTATTTTGGTAAAACTTTTGTTGAAAGTATGCATATTTTAAAAGTAACTAGGCTTTTAAATAGTGGAGTCTTAGACTATCACATTTTTATTACTTTTTTCCCTTAAAAAAAAAAAAAAAACCAACATGTCAATATAATGCAAAATAAAAATCAAGGGTATATGGCATGTCATTCTTTTTAAAAGGGTGGTTTCCTGGTTTCTTTCCCCCACGGGACACACTAATTTATTTCACGCCATAATCTCTTGACATTTAAACGTTTAAGTTCACTCTGTAAAGTATAATCAAATTCCCTGCTGAAGTGCAATGACTATGCTGAAAAACTTAAACAGTATGAGTAAATTTCACACAATTACTAATCTCCTAAGAATGTACAATGTTATCAGTTAGGAAACAATTGTGCGAAAGTCTTTTTTTTTTTTTTTTTTTCTTTCCTTTTAAATGTGGTGTAGGTGGAATAGCAAGTTTCTGATCTAAAACAAGTAATGCATTGCTTCTATAAAGGTGGCAACATGTAAGGCAGTTCAAAGAATGCTGACTAACCAAACAAAACGCAGGTATTGGTTTATCTTGCTATTCGAATCACTTAACTTGTTATATCGCATTGCTCTTAAATCTGTACAGCACTCCATTTTACAAAGAGTAACCCCACGCTTGATTAATCTGTTCTAAAGTGCCAATATTATTTACACACTTTTTTTTTTTTTTTTTTTTTTTTTTTTAGCCAAAAGTCTGGCCCGTTGTGGCATCAGGTGAGGATGTCATCCCAGCTCTATCGTTTACATTCACCAAGGGGAACTCGGGAAATTCAGCACTTGTCCCCGGTCCCCGGAGGTTCACCTGTCCATTGGCAGTGCTAAACTGAGTAGCTATCCCAGCTCTCGATCCGTGGTAGGGAGCACGGAAGGGCTGTTCAAAGGAGCTCATTTGGTAAGCTTGGTGGACAGGCTGAGCCTCCGCTTTCTTCTGAGAAGTCACTTGATCCAGAAAGTCCTGCGTGGAGGTGGCGGAAGCGTGGTTTGTCTCGTCACCTGAAAAGGGAAACGAGTGCTGGGAATCACCGACTATGAGTCCGAAGTGGGACTTATCTGGAGTTGTTCTTAGCGGAGAATTCATTCCTGATCGAAAGCTGTTGATGGGCATGGCTGCATAGACCTGCTTGTCTATGGAGGAGAATGCTGGCTGACTCGGAAGGGTCTGGTTATCGGTCACAAAGTTAAGGCTCGGGCTGTTCAAATAGGCATCATTTTGGCTAGTTCTGTCCAAAGCCTGCTGCAGAAACTTGGAGTATTCCTGCAGCATGTTGGCTTTATCGGAGGAGGATGCTTGGGAGCTGGATCCGACATTCTCTGACTGGGTGACCTCGGGTACTTCTGAAGAATTGATGGATATGCTAGAAGTCACCTCTGTGTCCGAAACGCTGAACGATATCTCATGCTGCCCGTTAGCTTTATGGGAATAGTGATCCAGCAGGGTCTGCAGTACCTCATCTGGAATGACGTTTTTGTCGTGATTACTCTTAATCTCCACATTCAGCGCCTGGGAATCCAATATGGACGCTGTGGTACTTTCATCGATGACACTTGCCACAGCTGCCTGGGTGACAGAAGGCTGGGCGGCAATGGTACCCACGTTCAGCGCATACTCCCTGCTACTGTTACTTGCTGCTTGAAGGTATCGCTTTTTCTTCAAAAACTGCATGGCATCGTCGTAATTAGTGCTGCTGTGCACAGGTTTACTGGGACCCTCTTGTAAATTATCAACCTGATCAATGTCAGCATTGCCCTCGGAGTCCAGTAAAGCTTGTTTATCCACAAGTTCAAAGGCATACTTTGAAACTTTGCTCTCCTCATACGTGGATAAAGGTGAAATGGTTTGATTTTGCTCCAGTGGCTGTTTCAGACTTCTCTTGCTGTTAATTTTTTTGAGAACCAACTTAGGTGGGTGTATTTCTCCCGATGCATCTTCTAAGTGCGATCCCCCGACAGAAGAATGTGGCATTTCAACAGCGTACTCTGCTACCATGTACTCATCTTTCACTTTAGTACTTGAAGAATAAAGAGGCAAATAATCATTTTTGTCTTTCTTCAGATCAGATTTATCCAGAGCACTGTCTTTGTCCATCCCCGATGATTTTTTCTCAGTTTTCTGCCTTTTCTTTTTTGGCAGTGAGTTATCTTTCGGTGACGTAGAGAAGCCAGAATCTTCCTCAGAGGTCAGAAGGCCGCCTTTGATAGCACATCTGTTCAGTTTTTTGTCATGATTTTCATGGCACATACGTTTATGTTTCAATACACGGTCTGTTCTGGAAAAATACTGTTGAATTCAGAGTTTGGTAGTAAGTTTTTTTGTTTTTGTTTTAGTTTGTGTTTTTGGCCAACCAAGAAAAGAAAAGAAAAAGAGCAATTAATATAAAGATAGACATAATATAATAATACCAGCAATTCCAAACTAATTTCGCTAAGCCAACCATCTATAATGATTTAATCAACAACAGTTAGGAAGTTCTTCAAGTAGGTCTAGTAGTAACAGTTTTTAATTTATTAGAAATATTTTATAATTCAATTTAGGATAGAAGAATTTTCAAGTGTCAATCATATCTCAATAAAGTGAAATTTTAAAAAAGAATTTAGCCCAGCCAGTGTGGCTGAGTTGGTCGGGTGTCATCCTGTGCACGGAAGGGTTGCCAGTTCAATTCCCTGTCCGGGCCCTGCCTGGGTGCAGGCTTGATCCCCAGTAAGGGGAGCCAGAAGCAGCTAACAGATATTTAGCTCTCACATCGATGTCTGTCTCTCTCTCTCTCTCTCTCTCTCTCTGTCTTTCTCTCTCTCTCTCTCTCTCTCTCTCTCTCTCTCTCTCTCTCTCTCTCTCTCTCCTCCCCCTTCTTTGCTGTCTAAAAATCAATTAAAAAAAAAAAAAAAGAATTTTAAACCACCTCTTACCTGTAAACAGTATTCACACTGGTAAGGTTTTTCTCCACTATGAGTCCTCTTATGCCTTTCCATATGATATTTTTGTATGAATCTCATACCACATTCATCACAGCGAAATGGCTTTTCACCTAGTACATGATATAGAAAGTTTACAACAAAACAAATATTGTAAACTAACAAATTATTTTCAACACAAGAATCTCTAAACAAATGGCTTTTGAGATCTGTCATACTTGGTTCTTTTTAACTGATAAAAAATCTCCCTTATAATAAAGATATTGTCCAATTAAATTTTTCAAATAATATTTTGCTTTATAAAAATGAAAGAGATTGGCTATGCCATTAAAAAGAAAAGGCCAAAAGCAGACATACTCAATTTCCCTGCCTTTCAATTATGTGTATATATAACATACTCTTTTCCATGGAGACCAGGAACTTATAGCAATATGAACACTATTTCAGTGAGTGGCTTATCTTTCTATTCCTTTTCTCAATCATACAAAACATTATTTTTAAAGAATTTTTGAAAAAAGAAATGTTACCCATACATAGTCCAATACAATTATTGGGTACCTTTTTAATTCTGCATTTTTAAAAAGTATATTTGTGGTTAAATGAAACTGGAATCCTAGAAAAATACTCTTAAAAATTTAATTTACTAAAACATAAGAAGAGCTTAGCTTAGAGACTGTTTCAAAAGTAAAGTTTGATTCTCTTTTTCTCAGCTCAAACTGGAATTTCTGATGTCCTTTTGGGAATGATTTAAATGAGTACTGGTAAACTGGACACACATGCACACACACATTTTAAAAATCTCATAAAGAATCCTTAGCTATAAGGAACCATTACTATGGAGATCTAAAGTAGGTTTTACTTCTAAAACCACATAGGTGCCAAGACACTTCAATGGGAAAATAAGAGTTTTTTTTTCAACAATGATACGGGTACAATCTGATACACACACACAAAGGAATGGAGTTGGACCTCTACCTCACCTCATACACACAAATTAACTCAAATGGATCATAGAACTAGTAGATGTGAGAACTAAAACTATTAAATGAAACTTGACCTTGGGTTAGGCAATGATTTCTTAGATATGGCACCAAAAACACAAGCAACCAAGCAAAAATAAATAGAATGTATTTCATCAAAATTAAAAACATTTGTGCTTCCAAGGAAACTATCAAGAAAGTGAAGACAAAATGGGGTGGCTGCTGTGGGGTGTGAGGACGGCGCCCCTATGCACTGAGTGGCCCTTTTCAGAGTGGGGGTGGAGCTGTTTGGCTACTAGGGGTTTTACTTATGAGTTGAATTTATCAATCTTTTCTTTTATAGATATTAGATTCTGAGTGTTATTTAGAAAGGCATTTCCTATTCTAATTTGCCCACACATTTATAGCTTAATTTTTTACATTAGATCTGATACATCTGGAGTTCATCCTCAAAGAGAATGTGAGGTACAGATAACAATTTGTTTTTCCATGTAGCTATCCAGAGTTTTCCTAACCCACTTAAGAAGTCACCTTTTCTTAATCCATTTTTTTTTTATCATAATCATTCACTAATAAGTTCCATGGGTCAATTTCTAGACCTTCTATTCTGTTTCATTGGTCTGACTATTCATAACACAGAACCAACTTTACATTTGTATACAGTGTATGAATACATAGCATATACACTAAAAAATGGTAAAGCTTATTGTATGTAAATTACACCTTTATTTAAAATGGAAAAATCTGAAGTCAACAAAACATAGTTCCTTTAAGATGAAAAAGTTACTAAAAATTAAAACTATATGCATTATCTATACAAAGCATCATAAGGAAAAATCATCAGCTACTTTGCATAATAAAACAAATTACTATTAGCCCATCAGACCTCCAAAAAAATCAAAACTTTAAACTCATGAGTGAATATAGTTCTAGAAACTTATTGAAGTTCCCTTTTGATTATTTCAATTTCTCAGTGAAATAGGAAGCAGGCTTAAAGTGAGGAAATCCTGCAGGATTATGGAAAGGAGAGAATATAAAATATTTGTTTTGAAGAAAGGTTGGCAGCTTTTCTGTAAAAGATAAGACAGTCGATATTTTAGACTTTGAGGGTCATACAACTTTGGTCACAATTAATCTGCTACTGTAGGGAGAAAATAGACAAAGACACTCCATAAAGGAAAGGCTATGGCTATGTTTCAATAGAACCTGTTACAGTAACAGGCAGCAGGTGCAACTGGCCCATGGGCTAAAATATGGAGCACCCCTAGATGAGTGGGAGACTGAATGGACTAGAAATAAATGACTTCCAGAAGGCATTTAGGATCTACTTAAAGTGACCCTAATGCAACATAGCTTTGTTTTATTCCAGAGAGGGAAAGAGTTAAAGATCCCAAAGCTGTAGTTTAGCCAAGTTTGTACTATGTATGAGAGAGAGCGAGCACGGGATATGTGAGAATGATTATGATAAACAAAGACTGCTGAATTTAAACTGGGTAAGGGAAGTGATGAAAATACAAGGAAAACAAGGATAGTGAAAAGGAGGCAGAATCGCTGGATTGTAGGTTTTCAGGGAGACAAAAGACGATTGAAGCCTAAGTATCTGAGGCATGAGCAGGAATGACGGGGGGTAGTGCATGGAAGGTAGTCTACGGTGACCAAGAGGAGGCAGAATCATAGCAAGATCACCAACAGACAGAGGTCTGAAAACTGAGAACATTCAAAAACTAAACTTTGAAAAGGGTTGGCAAACTTTTTTTTTTTTAATAAAGGGTCAGATAGTAAATATATTAAGATTTATGTGCAAGAGATCAAATCAAGGATATTGTATACATATTCAAAGAACAAGAGGAAAAAAAACAAATTTTTACTGACAAAATTCAAATTATAATCTATACCAATAATAGAGGAATATGCAAATTGTCCAGGATGCTGACACATAATGACCAATCAGGACAGGGGTGGGACGATGGTGGAGAGCTCTCACCGGGGTCCGAAGGGCATGGCGAGGATGGGAGAGCAGACGGGCGGTTAGGGGGGTCAGGCCAGGAGGGGAGAGCAGTTAGGGGGATCAGGGCGGCAGGGGAGAGAAGTTAGGGCATCAGGCCGGCATGCAGAGTAGTTAGGGGCAATCAGGCAGACAGGCAGGTGAGCAGTTAGGAGCCAGTGGTCCCAGATTGAGAGAGGGATCCTGGATTGGAGAGGGTGCAGGCCAGGTTGAGAAACCTCCCCCCATCCCCAAAACACAAATTTTGTGCACTGGGCCTCTAATAACTATAAGAATGATGGTAACAAAATATTTTCATTATTTTTTAAAATTATTTATTTATTTATTTTTAATTTTATTTTTTTTTACCATACAAATGTTCTAATGAGAAGAACTGAAATTATTTTTATGAGAGAAGGTAGCATTTTGTCAAATTGGGATTTAAATTTAATGTTCCTATCATCTGTTAGTTGCAAATATTTACCTGCTAATACTTATCTGCATGAGATTTTACATATTCTATCTTTGAAATTATCTTGTCTCAAAGACAGGTACTGATAACAATCCATAAAAACGTATCTTTAATTAAGAATTATTTATCACTTGGAAGGCATTTATAGAATTCTATTAGATTCTTCTATTGATCTTTGCCTGTTAGCATGCTGTTATATTGCAGATTAATTACTTCCAAATGAAGGTTAGGTGGAATTGCAATTTAATGGGTTTTGAAATATGGACTTGCATCAATGTCCAAAAAACTGTTCGAAGTTGTAGTTTGAGCTTAGAAAGTATATCTATCTCATATTTGTGTGAGGTTGGAGGTTTTACCTCTTGTTGCAACTTGTAACGAGGGAAGTGTATAAAGCAGTATCATGTGATTCAATAACCTTAGGAGCTGTCAAAATAATTTAAGCACAATAGAAGTTTCACTATAAGCAATGTTTTCTCCTTTTTAATGACTTAAGTTGACTTCATTAAGAAATATTTTTAAGTCTTTAGGAAAAGCTAATTTCCAAAGCCATTCTTCAGTGCTCAATAATAGTGGTTGAGAGTGGTTCTTTTCATTCAGAAAAATGTTAACACTTTTCTACACTCAAAAACTCCAGATAGCTGAAACATGGTTTGGCTCAGTGGATAGAGCGTCGGCCTGCGGACTGAAGGATCCCAGATTTGATTCCAGTCAAGAGGCAGCTGATTGATGTTTCTCTCTCATCGATGTTTCTAACTCTCTATCTCTCTCCCTTCCTCTCTGTAAAAAAAAAAAAAAAATCAATAAAATATATTACAAAAAAAAAAAAAAAAAAAGGAAAGAAAGAAAGAAAAACCTCTGGATAAAACTTTTCCAATTCAAAGCTATTAAACTTTTATAGAGAATATCCAGTTTTCCATAAGAGACAAAAATTCAGGAAACCAATGGTAAATATCCTAGAGCAAATGAAGTTTACAGTTGACACTATTGGTCCAATGACACATAATATATTCAAATGTTTTCCACAAAAAACTGCTCAGGTGATAACAAATATTCATGTTTTAAATGCTTTGCATTTTCTCAAGCTTTGTAAATTAGACCAAGTGAACTTTTTCCTACTCCACACATTTTCCCGTCAGTTGTGACATATCTTAGCAGAATCCACTTCAGATTATACTGAAATAATGTTTATATCATGTATTCTTTTTAAGAAAAAAAAATTACTGAGCTTTAATTCATACAGCATGCAATTCAATGAGTTCAAGTGTATAATTCCTTTTTGAAAAATTTCTTGTCTATACTTGTTCCACATAGGCAATTTAATTCTTTAGTCATTCAAACTTAACCTTTCCTCCTTGGATGAATAACAACAGAGTAGTGTTGATAATAGCTGTCAACTCACTAAGAGCCAAGGAAACTACTTGGAATCGTTTGTCTTGTTTTTTTAGTTCACTACTGATGTTATTCCATGTAGGATTTCATCTGAAAATCTGGGCTCCACAGTAAAAGCTTAAAAGCCATTATCCTATACTAGCTTTACTCCTTTAGTCCCTTCTGATCACACTGTTATTAAATTGCATCTATATGTATTCTTTCTTTGAAATATCTTTCTATCCATTTCATTCAGCTTCTAGTCTTAATGTGTTGTTCGTAAGTTCAGGCCCTCATCAGAGTATGATA